CCATTTAAGAATACAAAAATTGGAATTAAAATTAAAAATTTCATATTTAATCCAGTATTCTGAATACAAAACAAAATAATAGCCTTTTCTTTGCTCAAAGTAAAAGTAATATTATTTAATAAACAATAACGAAAAATAAAAAATATAAAGTTGTTATTCTTATTTGTACCAAAATATTTAAAACTAGACTAAAATTTTATTCATTACATTACATTTTTTTTTTTTTTATTGTTTATTTTATAAAAAGGATGAATTTGCGTTCTTTGATATACCTACGTTATAACTTTTTTTCGATCCAATGTTTCAAACTATTTTTTAATAAATACTTCTTCAATAACTTCGATTGTTAAAAATATTTTTAATTTTTGCGTCTGTAATTACTGTTGATCTACATTGTTGTTCTTATAGTGAGATAGTTTATTACTAGGGCTCGGATTTTAATGCATTAGCACCTTTTTTTAGGATGTCTTACACGATGCTTTTCAAGCTACAAATTTATTTCAGGTACTCCGTGTTCTACCCACAAAAATTTTTTGAGATATTTTTGCAATTTTTTGCATTTTTAGCGGATTTTATATTTTTTAGAGCATTTTTTGACGTTTTTAATGCATTTTTTTTATATTTTAGGACATTTTTGACCTATTAATCGTATTATGAATAACTTCAATTAATGTTGAGAGGTCATTTTGAGTATATAAAAATTAATTGGCAGATAACCGTCGATCATTAAAATTCCAAAACTTAAAATAAATATTAATCGTACAATGCAATTCAAATATGTAATTAATTTTTAATTCAATTTTTGATTATAATTTTTTTTTATTTTTTGTAATGTAATGTAAATAAAATTTCACTTTTTACTTATTTTTTAATAATAATTTGAATTTATTTAATAAATAATACATTTTTGATATTTTTAGGGCATTTTTTAAAGTTTTTAGGTCATAAATGCATTTTTTGAAAGGGCATTTTTTTGATATTTTTAGGGCGTTTAAATCCGAGCCCTATTTATTACTCAGCAAGTGAGTTTCCAAAATGTTGGAATTTTTAAATTTAAATTTAGGAACTAAAATATGGTCTTTTAAAATTTTCAGAATCCCAATTCTGATAAATTAATTAAAGTTGAACGGTTAAGAGACGATGATAACATTTTGAAATCTGACATTAATTTCTCATGTAAAACTACCAGAGGCGTACCCAGGATCAAAATGTAGGACAAGTCCTGTTATAATTATTATAAATTATATAGGTACACATTATTCTATTTCTTTTTTTTTAAACTTTTCATAATATTTTTAAATTGAATTAGAAAAAATAATCATATAATATATTAAAACACAATTCCTCCTGTTTGACTTGTTAACAATATTTAAAGATATTAAAAATTAAAAAACAATGATGGAAAAAATAAGCTGTATCCAAATTGCATCCCGAATTTAAAATTACTACAGTAGTTGGGTCCTGGATTTTTTATAGGTACTACACTAGTTGGGTCCCGGATTTTTATAAATACTACACTAGTTTCTGAATATTTTTTGGTAAGTACTATATTATACGAACAATACTAACATTTTCCTTCCCATTTTAATAGACTTAGGGCTGTCAATGATCTATTTAAACCACAGGAATGGTTAAAAATGTTTTATAGTATTTTTTTTGGTTTTTTAGTTTTTTCCATTAATTTTTATTTATATTATATAATGATTTTAATATTTTTACCAACACAATTCTAATAATTTATATTTTAATGGAAAAGAAACTAAAAAACCAAAAAAAAACCTATAAAAAACATTTTTAACCATATCTGTGGTCTAAATATATCATAGACAGTCCCAAGTCTGTTAAAATGGGAAAGAAAATGTTAGTATAATGTAGTACTAACTAAAAAAATATTTAGGAACTAGTGTAGTACTTATAAAAATCGGGGACCCAACTAGTGTAGTACCTACTTAAAATAATTCGGGACCCAATTAGTGTAGTACCTATAACAATCCAGGACCCAAAAAGTACACTACCTGCGATTAGCTCCTAGTACTTGGGACCCAACTCGGATGCTTCAAAAAAATATGAATAATAACTATTTAAAAAGAGGGTAGGCCTAGACCTACCAGTCCTACCCTCTGGGCCCGCCATTGCAAACTACTAATGTTTCAATTTGTCCATTAAAAGATCCAGTCTTGTAGGATATAAATTTTGATATTATTGATTATTTTATTCGTAATTCAGCTATTTTTTAATTAATTTTGATAATACTATTCATAAATGTGACAAATTTAATAGGAAGTTACCATGCTATTTTCAGAAGGAAACTTCTGAATGATGAAATAAAAAATAGACAGTGGTTACTATACTCAATATCAATAATGCAATATTTTGCTTTTACTGCCTTCTATTTTCTACTAAAAAAAACACAGTTTAGTTCTACCGATTCTGGATTTACTGATTAGAAAAAATTGAACAACACGAAAAAAGTTTAACGAATAACGAATCTATTCACATAAGGTTTTCAAGACAAAATTACAACAGGTATTGAAATATAGTTAAAAATTGAACACTAAAAAAGGGAACTATTGAAAGAGTATAATACAGCATTATTTGAAACAATAATATTTTTATCGAGCAGAGACAGTGCCGTAACTACACTAACTTGGACCCGTGTGTAAGTAAAATAAATGCCCTCCCCGCATCCGGACTCTGCAGAGAAACCGTACCGTATTTGTAACCAAACTATTTTGAATTTCGATTATACAGGCTGTAACTTTGATGTACGATAATGTGTACAAAACAAAATCAATCAACTATTTTTCAATCTCCATAAGTAGTTATTATTAAAAAATGGTTTAATTCTCTTGCTTTCTACATATTTTTAAAATATTACCATTGGGCCCTATTATAAGCTAGCGTCATGGGCCCATGTGTTTGACACACGCAACACACCCGGTTATTGCGACACTGAGCAGAGACTTTGCATTTTGTGACGATAATTAAACGTTAGGTTCTAAAAATAATGGAAATTACCTCGGATGCTTAGAATTAATTGCAAAATTCGATCCATTAATATTCAAACATCTTAATGAATATGATAATTAAGGTCATAGAAATGTCTCATATTTGTCCCACACAATTTGCGATGAGTTAATCACACTAATAAATATATCTGTGTTTGATAATATTGTAAGTGAAGTAACGCCCGCTAAATATTTCTCGTTAATTGAACATTCTACTCCCGATATCACAAAAGTTGACCAACGAACAATTGAAGACTACGAAGCAACAATAAGACATCTCCACTTTTTCAAATTGTTCAAGATGAACAAAAAACAGTTTTAAAAATTTACAAAAAATATATTCAAATACCTTGGCAAAAATTATAATTGATTTCATAAAAAAAAAGTTTCAAAATGTATTTTTAAAGACAAAAAAATTAAATAATGGCTTATAGATGTCTTAGTTTTGTAATAAAAACCAAAAATCTCCATTTATATAATATCTCTATATTTAATGCTCGGATTTGTTTGATTGTTGCACTAATCGACGTAAAATATTTTTTGTAATAATAATAGCTGAAAAAACGATTTTGCTAGTGAGATGTCTGATTGTTGCTCCGTGATCTTCAATTGCTGTTAGATACGTTAACTTAGACGGGAATCCAGTAGAACGATTTTTTATATTTTATTCCATCGGTTGGACATAAAAGTAAAGGAATGAATTTATTTAACCTAACCCGGGCATATAATTATGCCCCCCCCCAAAAAAAAAAAATGTATATATAAATAATAATAATATAACACTTATTAATTCGTCCATAATTGAGATTCTTTAATATTAAAATATAACTTATAAATGAAAATCGTTTAATACTTTTTTTAATTAACAAATTATAATATAATAAAAATACAATTTTATTTTTTAATTTACAAATTATAACATACTATTTTATTTTTTTTTCATTAGGTACATCATTTTTAAAATTAATTTTGCTAAAATATTTTGCCCCCTCCTGAGACTTGACGCCCCCGGGTATGTGCCTAACCGTGGTCCCCCCTAAATACGGGCCTGTTCCTTATGCTTTCATATTTTTTGTCAACTTATGTTTGTGAAAGCTTATTCGCCATAACAAATTTAATTAAATCGAAGGAAAGAAATGTATTGACCGATAAAACAATTTCTGCTAGTGTTTCACTAATAATGACTAAAATTTAGTAAAAATAATGTAATATATCTGTAATTTTATTTTTATTCTTAGAAAATATAATTTTCTTTGTACACGTGAACAATTGTTAAAATTTAACACTTGAACTAAAAAAATGTTTACCACCCCTGCTCTAAAGAATACATATTGAACTCATAAATAACATTTATTACGTGTAATAAACATGAATTACATTTTCTTTTCTTGTACACATTATATTATTATCATTTTCCTGAGAGTATTCAAAATTAAGGCTGATAATTATTAAACCAAAATGATTCATGATCAAAGCTAGTAGTTATAGTTGGTACACCAAAAATTGCATTATCAGTAAATGACTAATGAAGTTTATTATTTGACTTTTAGGCAATTTTCTCTTTTCAATTATTCAATTAATAAATTGTTAAAAATAATAAAATTACTGAATTTAACTAAAACTACAGGTACCTATTTGGTAGAGGGCTCAGGTCTTATAATTTTTATGAGGGCCTACCAGGATTTTCCCGGTATCTCGGTGGGGCAGCACGTGCCTTGGACCCTAATAGAAACCGAACAAAACCAATTCATGTCGAGGGGACTTTCGGTTCTATTAGTTGTCTATTAAGTATCGAACACAGGCTATAACACCAATTCACACTTGTTGGAAGCAACCCAAAACGAACCAAATCGAACCATATATGTGAAACGAGCCTTACTGGGACGATCAAAGGCGTATTATGTCGTACGGGTTGCAGTGTTTACGAGACAGTGTTCGTATCACGGACTATAGGTCACAGTTACTATCACGCCGACTGATAATATTTTGAACTATTCTTCACTTCACTTCATACTCATAGTTGATTGACGTGATAGCATATGCACTCATCAACGCTATGAAACTATTGTTAAATAGTTTGTCAGGATTGTTTCGTAATAAACACTCAATAATCTATGCTGCCTGCGACTAAACATTGCGATACTACTCGTTCCATTTCTATTATTCATTTTTTTATTTGTATTCTTGATAATCGCTGAACTATTAATTACTTTAAACTATATACATCATCGTGTGTACAGCGGTATTTTCGTTGTGTTTTCATTAATATTAGTGATTTTTTTTGACAATAAATTAATTACATAACTATGAGTATATTCAGCCAGGTTCAAGAAGCGGCGCCCATCGAAGTGTTTAATTTGGTGAAATTATTTAATGAAGATAATAACCCATCAAAAGTAAATTTGTCTGTTGGAGGTATGTGAATATTTAATGTCTGTAGTGAATTAGCTTAAGGTCAGATTACTAATAATTTATTAATTGTTGCTTTATTTATTTTATAGCATACAGGACTGAAGAAGGCAAACCGTATTATATTCCTGTTGTCAAAAAAGCTGAGGAATTGGTACTTCAGGATACAGTGAATCATGAATATCTACCTATTTTAGGCTTTGAACCATTCACTAAAGCAGCTTCCCAACTACTGTTGGGTGATATCATTAAACGGCAAGAAGAAGGAACTGTAATAATTTATTTCATACTATTTCATTATTATTCTATAAGAAATTTATAAAATATCCCTGATTACTTGTCTTATATAATCTGTAATATTATACTGATAAAAATCTGGATAGCAATTTATAACCATGGAGGTTCGTAAAATCTACATGGAAAATTTATTTAAAACATGTACATTCAAATTTTTTAAAAACTAATTTAGTTTAATGTAAATTTTATTAAATATTTTTTTATGCATAATGATCTCTTAATCTTTGTACTAATTGATAATTTTAAAAAAACAACTTTTTTCTTGAACTTCTCTCATAATTATCATACGCTTAAAATGTTTGAACTTAAAATGTCTTAAAAGTAATATTAAATATAAATTATTCAGCCATAAAGGTATTACTATTATTTTTTCTTTAATATTTGTATTGTAACTATATATTTAAAGATTATTTTGTATTAATTTTAAATATAATTTATCTATAATTGTTTATCTAATTCTAATATATTCATACAGATAGTTTTTAAATTTTTTTAATTTTCTAGTTATTACTAAATATACAAAATTAAAAATTAAATGAATTTTTATTGATGTTCATATTCTTAAAATAATATCAAAGTATTATTAAATATCTCTAATAAAAACAATATAAATAAAATATAAAAAATATAAGTTCTTGTTTAGTGTATTGCTGTATAATTTGTGCAAAATAAAAATATTTATGACGACCTGTAATTAAAAAAAAAAAATTGAAAATAACTTAAAGAAAATAAATACAAATTATACAAATTTATTATAAATAATTTAATTTTTTTAATCTTTTTGATAAAATATGAAATACTAATTTAATTATTATGTGTATTTTAAAACAATTTTTAATTACTTTTAAAGATATTTGGAGTACAATCAATCAGTGGTTCAGGAGCACTTAGAGTGGGTGGAGAATTCTTAGTCAAACATTTGAATTGCACCACATTTTATTACTCAACACCAACTTGGGGTAAGTTAAAAATATCTTACTACAACTTCTCTTAAAAAGGTTTATAACAATGACAAATATTTGACGATGGTTAATATAAACCAAAGTTGGTAATATAATTGTATAAAACATTTTATATGTTGCATGTGTAATATAAAACATATAAAAAGTCTAAAACTTATAATTTGTTTTGTTTATTTTAATTTAAAAAATATATAATTATGCAGTAAAAGTTTAAAAATATTATAGGTCTAATATTATAACTAAGAATAGACCCCATAAAGTGCACAAAACCCTTACCCATATAGTACTACTTAATACCTAATCCATATATTGCATACTAATTCATAAACATAGATATTTAAATGTTTAGGTCTTAATATAATCTAATGAAAAATAATTGTAATTATTGAATACTAACTATGGGCCGGCCAAAAATCCTTCCTTTATCTACAAGTAATTCTCGTCTAAATCTAGGGATTAGTTCAAAAATTGAGTCTTATACACTTTCTTGATTTTTTATTTGGAAGTTCAAAAGGTCCAGGTAGTATTTGTAATATTAATAATTGAAAAAATTATTGAATTTGGTTTTTGAAAAATAATTGTAAATCAAATTCATTTTAGTTATGTCCTATTATATTTACAGTGTTTGTCATGTTAATAATGGTGTAATAAACTATATTTTTAGTAATGTTTTGCTTTGACTAAATAAAGAATGTATAAATTAATAATTAAATTATAATTTCTTAAAATTGTACATTCTTTAGTATTTGATAAACATTGTATTTTAATGTAGTTTTCAGGTTGTATTTCAAAAATAATTTCTTATCATGTTTTGTTTAGAAAATCATCATCTGGTTTTTATGAATAGTGGATTTAAAGAAGCAAAAACTTATCGCTATTGGGATGAAGAAAAGAGATCTATTGATTGCAATGGACTTTATGAAGATCTATTAAATGCACCAGAACATTCAGTTATTATATTGCATGGATGTGCCCATAACCCAACTGGATTAGACTTAACTGAAGAACAATGGAAAAAAGTGGCAGAAATTATGAAAGTTAGTATAATACAATAATATTAAGCGAATGTTATCTAGGAAAGGTTAATTAACACATAATATGTTATAATATATAAATAACATTTGTATTTAAAATGTATAAAAACATTTTTAACATACAATTATTTATTTTAAGTTATTAAATTAATATTTTTTTTAGGAACGTGAATTAATACCGTTCTTTGATAATGCCTACCAAGGATTTGCTTCTGGAGATGTTGAAAAAGATGCTTGGTCTGTTCGATACTTCCTTGATCAAGGGTTTGAATTTTTATGTTCACAATCATTTTCTAAAAATGTTGGACTTTATAGTGAGATTTTATTACTTTATAATATTACTGGGTTTTCTGAAAATATATTTTTGAACTACGTATAAAATAGTACAAAAACTTTGTGAAAATATTGATGAAATGCCTTTATTTGATTTTATTTATATTTCTTTTAGATGAACGAGCAGGAAATTTAACATTTGTACTGAATTCCGTGGATAAAATTAAAGCTGTTAAATCTCAGGTTACCATGATTGTTAGAGGAATGTATTCAAATCCTCCTAACCATGGTGCACGTATTGTCAGTACAATATTAAACAATGATGAGCTTAAAAAAGAATGGTAATTTATAATTATTTTCTGATTTGTTGTAAAATTTTTTATAATTGTTCAGTGTTTGTATAATGTGCATTTGTATGTTTTATTAATTAGGTTGGATACCCTAAAGATAATGACCAATCGAATAAAAAATATGAGAAAAGTTTTGAGAGAAAATTTAGAAGAGCTTGGTACGATAGGAAAGTGGAATCATGTAACTAATCAAACTGGAATGTTTTCTTATACAGGATTATCAGGTAAATTTTAAATAGATCCCATTTTTATTTTATTTTTTGCATTAAACTCATAAAAAAAATGTGTAATTGCAGCAAGTCATGTTGACTATATACAAGAGAAATATCATATTTATATGTTACGATCAGGACGCATAAATATTTGTGGACTCAATATGAACAATATAAAATATGTAGCTGAAGCAATTACCGATGCTTTAAAAAATGTAGCCAACTAAAAGAGCAATTTATTTAATCCTATTGAAACCAAATTGTTTTTATCGTTATGTTTTGTAAACTAGGAATAGTTTTTAACTTCATAGATATTTACATAATATACACTTACATTTTACATGATAATGTTGATAAATTATCTACTGTGTTTTATTTTGTTTGTTGAACCTTTGTTAATTATTCTTAATAATACTCTACTACTTAATAAGTTATCAATTTAATATAATTAGAAACTATTATTTAATAATTGTCTGTTAGAAGATTGTTGAAAGTAAAGAATCTTAATATTATATAGTTTGTGTTGCAATTTTTTAGCTCATATTATGAAATACTATAAATATGATTATGATAATATTTAAATTTTTTTTCTTTTTCTTATAAAAATGTATTTTGTTTGTCTTTTTTTTACTGATAAAGTATTTTAATTTGATATAGTTTTCTGGAAGGGTAGATAGGAAGGGAATCATATCCTCGTCCTATAAAAATATCATATTTTTCATACTTCAGTCCCTCCAGCCATTATGGTTTTTAATAATTTAACCAATGTTTAGAATGTTCATGTTAATTTTCCAATAAAATGAATGCGTTCATAAATGCATTTATTTAAAAAAAACCGTACATTATGTGAAAGAATACCTACAAACAAATATAAAAAATGTTTGGTTTCAACTTGTTCTGAGATTATTTATAAGTTGTAAGTAATTTGAATAATCATTCCGTATTATGCTGTGGCGTAGGTAAGCAGGGAGTTTAACCTCCCAATTGCCAAAATCCCAGTTAGTAAATAAATAGGTAATTATAAAAATAAATATATCAACCCACGAATGTGGTCAGTGGCGTATTTTCAATTTTTTGGAATAGGGGGAGGATTAAAATGTTTCTACAAAATAATTGATTTTATATTATAAAAATGCATTTAAGGTATGAATTAATAATTATATTATTATTATATTTATTAAGAACATCGCTAAACCTAATCTTTTTATTTCTTCTAGAGGAAGTTCGAGACTCGGGACCTTCCTCGCCCTCGGAAATATGCCAATGATTGTGGTAACCATATAATTTTAATTTATTTTTTATTGAATTCAATTTAATTTGGTTATTGTATGTGGTTTGCAGTTGCGTAGTTACGGGGAGGGTGTAAGGGGTTTCCACCCTCCCCACAGATTTTTTTTTAATGATATTTGATTATTATTTATTAATATTTACATATTATAGTAAAATATTTTGATTTTACTATGATTAGGTACATATTAAAAAATGAGTAACAAAATCATTTTCATTAAATACGGAACAATATATATATACAATACCATTTTAAATGTAATATTATTACATATGACCTAGTTTTATGATATACTAAGAACATTTAAAAACTTACTCTTGATCAAACCCCCCCCCCCCCAGAAAAAAATTGTATCTACGCCACTGGTGGTTTGATATTATTAAATCTTTATACAATCAATTATCACATTAAAAATTATTTTTCTCAATTGAGTAACTACCTCATAGCATAATTTTCAAATCAGTAACCTAGGTATATTAAAAATATATATTGTTTATGTTTAAAAGCATTGATTGCTTACTTTTTGTTTCTTCGTATTATTTTTTTAAAAGGTTATCCAAATAGCTTTGATTTTCCACTAATATCTTGTACGTAATTCCAAAATATTGAAAAATTGTTTTTAATTTCAAAACTAATAATACCCGCTATATAATGTTAAAATTTAACAGTGTGTTAAATTTTTGACATAAATGATCTTAGGCTTTCATATCAGTAGCGCCATTTTAGTTTTTCTAGAATAGGGATGTACTCATTAAATTGCCGATTCGGCAACTCATTTTACCCAAGTGCTGATTAACGTGGGGATGCCAACATAAATGCAAATAGGGGGGAGGCTAAGCCCTCCTGAACTTTGTATAACTCCTCCAAAATATAAATATTTTAAATGTATTATTTATAATTATTGACTATTATTTTATTTAAGATGTTTTAAAAATAAATACTGAAGATTTAAAGTCTGAAATGACTGCATTTAAAAATATTTTAAATGAAAACACAGAATATAAATATTTTAAGGAACGTCTTACACAACAAGTTTTTCCAAATTTATTTAAACTCGTTTGAGTAGCAATCACATTACCAGTCAGTTCATCCACTTGTGAGAGATCATTTTCGGCAATGCCAAGGATCAATACGTATTTAAGTTCTACTATGTCTCAGAGCTGTTTCAATGAATTAGGTGTATTTAATATAGAAAAATATATTGTTATAGGCGTTGAGGATAATTTAAACAAATTTTCTAGAAGAAAGAAGAAAAAAACTAATGTAATTTATTTTTAACAATTTGTTGTGATTAAAAAATAAATATTTTAAGTATTGTAAATTGATGATTTTGATTGGTACATTTAATCTGAGCGTAGCGAAGAAATTTTTTTTGTAATATAGGTAAGTGTCAATAAAGTGTTCAATATAAACCTGAATTTCAGCCCCCCCCCCCCCCCAAATCTCAGACTATTTGCGCCTATGGATGCCAGTTATACCATATCAGTTCGAAAAAATAGATAAATACATATGTATTCGTATAGCAGTGGCATATATAGGTTTTCATTTTGGAAGGGACCGATCAGGGAAGGAGAAAACACACTATTACGACAAAAATTACTTGAACACTTTAAGACTTCTCGACTATCTTTAAATCATTAGAAAAATAATAATTTCAATTTTTTTAATGATTTATAAATTTAAAAAATATAAAAACTACATTGTAATAAACAATTTTTTTATTAGTCACTCAAAATTCACCACATAATTTTATAAAAAAATAAACATATAAGCAACATTCTCAGTGTCGCAACAAATTTTCGGAATAATCCCCAGCCATAAGACATATCCATGTCAAAAATAACAATTTTTAACAAAGGTGTTTTTCATTTCAGGGGTGAGGGACCTCGGACCCCCCCCTCCATTAATACGCCCTTATTGTGCGCCATTGCTGAATCAGTTCAATGTAGTTATTAGCTGATGTCTCCTTTATTCGTTGATTAAATGCTCATAGAACTGTTTAAATCACGTTTACACTAGGTTTTTATCACAATCTTACAATTAAATACAATATACTTAAATAAATTATTTTTATAAAATAATTTTTAATCCAAGTACATCGGCTCAATGTTATAATGTGACTACCGGCCCACCGGGAACTTTCCCGGTATCCCGGTGGGCCGATCCGCCGCTGCTAACAGTCACATAAGTCAAAGTATACTCGGTCTCTATATACTCATTGCAATTCGTCATCAAATCACAATTTAAGAGCCACTCTAATCTTAACATAATTACTAATGCTAAACTATAATAACAGTATCCAATGGCGGACTGAAGGGCTTAAGTTTGACGCAGCTACATCAACTTTTAATTGGGGGTGGTACCACCCGGTTCCCCGTGCTAGTGGCAATGTCGTGGAATTACATGCTAACTTTTTATAAGTAAATAATGTATATTAGACTTTTACAACATATTATACTAATTTGGTATTGATGGAACGTATTGTAAATTGTAATATATTAATTATTATAACCTAAACAGTATCTACATCTAAACAGAACCTAATACATAATTGTAGAAAGTATAATATTATTTGTATTATAATACGAATAAATTTGGAAATTTGGAAACAAACGAATTATGATTTAATAATTAGGTATATTATTTATACTATATTATATTTCACTATTATTATAAATACAAATTAATAGTTTTATATAATAAGAAGTTGACATCTTTTTTTTTTTCACCAGTTCTTCAATAACTTATTCAGGTTTTTGCAGACTGTCTACTATAATAGATGGCATACTAATATAATTATATATATTATGTTGTTATCATCGTTGGATGGCGACGACGTGACAAAAATAACCAAAAGTTAAGTCCAAATTATTTATTCAATATGTAGGTACCTAATACAAATATTAAATACAATAATAACCAAACTTGGGTAGCATTCCGAATAAAATATTTGGAATACTTTTTAAATACTTTTTTTGAAAGTATTCAATAAAGTATTTTGAATACTTATAACAAGTATACATTTTACTTATAAGTATAACCATCAAGATTAAATATATATATATATATATATAAATAGAATGAATTCAATAAACTCTTAATTATTATAATTTTATGTATTTACTACATTTTTATATGAGGACAGTGAAAAAAAATCAGTGATTGTCACATGAAGTACACAAGTACAGAAACCAGAATTTATTTTCAAGTTTAAAGTAAATCGTGGAACAATTAAAAATCCAAACCCATTATATTTATACCAAATTATGTCAAATTGTATAGACAAAATACTTTAAGTTGACAAATAAAATATATATTTACAAATAGCTATTAAGTTTATTAACATTTCTAATATATTTCTAAATTATATCCTATTCTAAGTATAATAATTTGACTAAATATATTTTATTAATTTTAACACAGTAAATTTAATTAAAATGTTTCATCAATTACAAAATTCTTAATAGTTTTATTACAAATTATAACATAAGAGATAACTAATTGAAAATCAGTATTTTCACAGATTTATAACGGAAAAAAAAAAAATTAGAACTTTGATTTTAAGTAATAAGATTCACGAACAAATAACATATTTAAAGACTTAAGTTAACATAATATTTCATTGGATTTATTCATAAATAATATAGAAGTTAAATCTTTAATAGCTTCCATACTAAATAATATGATATAACCGTCATATTCTAAAAAATGTGAACATTATGCATTTTTTAATTATTATATACTTGATACATGGATCACTATTTTTTTAAATTAAATTATATACATTCATAGAAAACATTATTTAAAAAGTTATAGTTTTGGCTTCTGATGGAAGTTGTTCTTTAGGACAATATGGACACTTCAATCTACTTGACCTTTCCAATTTATTGAGTGCATCTTTTGAAATTACATGGCCACAAACTAACATCATAGGTGGGTTAGATGTACCACTTCTTGTTCTTAATATTGGACAAGCAAATACGGAATGATATGAATAACCAGTGTCAATTTTGATTGGTAATTCGTCATTTTCATTCCAAACTCCTCCAACATCACGACAAATTACTTGCTTAATATCTAATAAAGCTGGCAAAGCTGAACAACCCACATTCACACATACACTTAACATATCATCACCAAAACATGAATCTTTAATGAACAGATCTATAACCTCAGTACGCATTTGAGCAACATTAGGTGGAAATAATAACATTCCCATTGTAGATTGTATTTCCTTTTGTTTATCAACAAAACGACAGAAATTTGTACGAGCATAGACAACAGCTTCATACTGTTCACCACGATTGAGGATATCTAAAAACACAATTTGATGTAATTTAAATTCTAGATCTGATTTTTTGGCATCCAGTTGAGCTTTATTATGAAGTACCCATTGAAAAGCTGGCACAGGGTCTTTGCGCCTTAAACTATCAACAATGTGATTTAAATTTAAATAACGCTGTTTATGTTTTTCATCAACCGTTATACCAGCTTCTTTTAAAAATTCTTCAGCAACTTCCCATTTAGAATCCCTGTACAAATGCACACAAATTATTTTGTTTAATATTTCTTTTTCACAATCAGTTTTAAACACTTTTTTATTACTGGCTTCAGTATAGTTAGCAATAAAGTTTTTATCAATAGTTTTTCCAACTCTTGAAACATCACTATGCCAGCGTCGATGTTCATTTGATATGTCTTTTATAGCTAATTTCATTTGTAAAATTGTTGAAGATAGTCCACATTTGTCTACTTCAGAACTTTGACTTTCAATTTCTCTTTTATACCGTTCAAGGGTAGAAATAAATCTATGCAATTGGAATTGCCATTTTGGTCCATATTTATTATATTTGGCCAGTAGTTTTTCAATATCAGCCTCAACGGCTTGACATGCTTCCATTTTTAATGTTTGATTAGTTATAAGTAGTTATCGTAAAATGTTAAAATTCAATAAAACTCTTCAATCCCATTTAGATTGTCTTTGCTTGTAGACTTCATGGTGACCATCTTCAGCAACAGCTGGATAATACCCCATTTTTTCATACTGATGTCTCATATACACTAAGTAACCAAATGTGAATGATATTGATGCAAGTCCTAATGCCATGATCACTTTATTCTAAAAAAAAATGTCAAGATTTTAATTAAAACATGCTAAAAATTTCATAACATATGATGTTAACTTAATACCAGTATATCAATTAATTTATTCAATATTTATAATTCACAGTGGAATTTATAATTCATATTACATGTTAAATATAAAACTAAAATACATACATTTCGCACAGTAATTATTGTAAAAAATTAATTCTGAAAATGCATCTACATGGTATAATATAATAAAAGCATATATCTAAATCTATTAGAAACGACTTAGTGTGAAATGCACTTGAAAAATTCACAAAATAAACACGAATTCGGACTTTGTATGCGATAAGTTTTGATTAGGTAACCCCATTTAATTATCTTATACAAAATAAAACCAAGACCATAGGTCATTAAGATCGAATAAACACATTTAATTAACTCGTCCTCCACGAGTGTGAACGTATTTCGAGTATAGTTTTATGAAATATTACCGGTTTTGAATAGAGCTCGAAGTTGATGATTCGGAACACTCTGGACGTTTTTAGAGATCTAATACCATCTCCTGGAGCGGTTTCTCGATCTTTCATCACTAAAAAAAAACAAAATCACTAACACCACAACGAGATAGAATACCACGGAGTTTGAAGTGTGACAGGTAGCGACTTAACGATATGCGTTTATTGGTAGCATCTCGTTCGGTACACGTATAAACCGTCAGCAGTCGTCAAATGTCAGTTTGTCATTGTCGGAATAACAACGTCGCAGTAAGCATTAAACAAAATAATTTTGTTTTGTCTTTCCTTTATCAGTGTTTCAACCTCCGCAAAAGACAATAAACAAAACACAATAATTTGATAATCAACGAGTGGCCATTGTCCATCTGTAATCCATATCAGTGGCACTAGCGTCTATAGATGACAGTGACAGCCAGATGTTGATTTTTGTAAGATAGACCACTGAGCGTGATATCGGCCAATGGTGAACAAGCTACTGAAGATATGGAATCTGTATGTCGCACAGTGTGTTCAGTTCACCTAAAAAGCACTCACGCAAAAATTTTGGTTCTATAAATAACCACAGAAAAATAACGATCAATAATCAATTATATAAAATACGTAATAAATATGCATTTGAATATGAATACATTAATAATCACAAATGTCTTAAAATATCGTATTATAATCAGGAGCCATTTCCAATTCTTATCAATCCATCGACAACAGAAGATAAGAGATAACAATAATTCCAAAAATGTATTGTTATTATTATTGTAATAGTTACTTATTACTCTTATTGCTGTGAATTTGTTGGCCCCGTCGCAACGTTTTTGAAATTTATGGTTTTGCGATGGAGGAGAATAAAACTGAAGAGACAGTATTTAAAGTGCCCTGTACGAAATTATTTGGTCCTAGACCGGGCTTAAAGAAACCAGTATTATGTCCTGATATGAAAACAACCAAATGTGACGATGTGACGACCAAAAATGAAATAGAAAATATAGAAGAAACGACTGGCGAAAAAATCGACCAACCGAAGAAAATCGTTAAAAAAACATCATTAGTTCCTATTCCATATGAAGAGCCATCATGGGGCGGTAAACCTGGGGATAAATACTTTTTAGAGGTTCGACTTGTTCTTTGTTGTTTTCTTATATTTTTAATATAAATAACTTTTTATTTAATTAGGAGTTAAAATCGGGTGTGATGTTAAGTACAATACAATTGGAAAGTAGATCTTTTCATTGTTTTGGACGCCTAGATAACTGCCATGTGACATTGGCACATCCTACAATTTCACGTTTTCATGCAGTTCTTCAGTATCGTTCTACTTTTTCCACCACTGACGATAATAGAGGTTTTTATTTATATGATTTAAGTAGTACACATGGAACTTTTTTAAACCGTTCAAGAATTAAGCCTAAAACATATACAAAAGTTCACGTATGTATTATAAATATATTATATAGATATTTTTATTCAATTAAGACTTGGTAGCTTACATTTAAAAGAGTGAACAAATGCGATCAAGATTATTAAATTCTACTTTGTATTTGTACAAATACAATTTTTTTATTCACTTTTGAATTATATGATTTTCAGGTAGGGCATTTGATTAGTTTTGGTGGTAGTACCAGAATGTATTTATTGCAAGGACCAACAGATGATGAAGAGAAAGAGTCAGAGTTGACAGTTACTGAATTGAAAGCTAAACGACAAGCAGAACTTGAACAAAGAGAACGAGATCAAAAGTTGCAGAAACTTAAAAAGGAAGAAGAAGAAAGAAAAAAACTAGAAATAGGTGTTGACTGGGGGATGGGTTAGTATTATCTACTATTTGATATTATAATTTAAAAAATATAAATTTTTAAAAATAATTAGGAATAGTTTTTCTATTACTAAAGTTATTGTATAAATATTTGGAATTACCTAACTTATTTTATTTATTACTCATTTTTATTTAATTTAAAAAAATTATTTTTATTCTCACATTAAAAATTGTAATCAAACAAAAACAAATTTCTTTGTTCACCAGAATATTACATACATTTTTATAGTTTTCGAGTTAAATGTAAAAACATTAAATATTGGGATTATAAATTATACATAAATAAAATTCAAAACTAACCCAAAATATTTTTGGAAATTTTATTCACAAATATTATCACTTAAGACACCCGTAACTATGACATATCTCGATAAAGACACTCCCTCTGGTACTGAGATTGAAAAAATTTGTTAAAATATTAATATTGAATATAACTTATAATATATATTTTATATTAATATTTTATTTTCAAAAATATTTAATTTGTTACTTATGCACACAACTGTAATTTTATTTTATTGTAATTGGAATTATTTTTGTAAATAAATTATTGATATTATTATTAAATTGAAATATTTTATTAATATTATAGGAGAAGATGCTGATGAAGAAGAAGATATTAAAGAAAATCCTTTTGCTCCTAAAGAAAATGAACAATTATACTTGGACGATCCAAAAAAAACATTGAAAGGTTGGTTTGATAGAGAAGGACAAGAATTAGTGTATGATGTTTCAGAAAAAAGATTTGGAACATTTACATGTCGCATCGAGTAAAATATATAAGATTTTTATTATATTTGTTTTGTTAATTAATTTAAATGTATTTAAACACAAATGTTTATTTTAGATTACCAATAGCAAATATTACTGGAAAACCACAAATTGCTGAAGCTACAGTAAGTGGTAAAAAAAAAGAAGCAATTGTACATTGTGCTTTGGAGGCATGTAAGCTTTTGGACATGTATGGTCTTCTAAGACAATCTACTCATGGTGAATATATTTGTATACATTACTTTAATTTCTTTTTATAATTAAACATTTCTTCTAGAAAGTAGAAAACGCAAAGAGAAAAATTGGGAAGAAGAAGATTTTTATGATAGTGATGAAGATAATTTCTTAGATCGAACAGGGGAGATTGATGCTAAACGTAAAAAAAGGATGAAAAAGTTTGGGAAATCTGCAGAAACTGTTGATACTTTTGAGACATTGGTACATAAAATTAAATGGTTTAAAATATTATACTTTTAATTAAGTTAACTAATGAAAATATAGTATAAAAAATTAATCTAAAATGTATTCCATACCTATATTTTAGATGGAAAAACATAAAATTCTTGTCACTGATCTCAAGCATATCAAGAATAAAATTAACAGATTAAACAGAAATGTTAACAAAGATTATGGAGAAAATAATGATGAAGACTCTTTAGAGTCTTATATGTCTGATCTCAGAAATTATAAAACCGTTGACAAAATTGAAATTAAGAGATTAAAAGTATAGCCATTGATTATGTCATCAAATTATATTAATTTATTTTACTTGGTATATTATTTACTTAATTATAGATGAAAATGAATGAACTTCAAAATGAAGAAGAAAAGTTAAGAAAAATAATCAATATTGTACGACCAACCACTTTACCAGAACTTTTAAACCCTCAGACAGAAGATAATAATTCTAATGTAGAACAGACCATCAAAGTAAATACTACAAATAACAGTCAATTGGTAACAAAACCTACAATACCAGAAGTTAAAAAAATAAAATCTGATGTTCAAGAAAAAGAAAAAATGGTCCACAATGAAAAAAAATCTGAAGCAGTTATCAAAGAAAAAGATGTATTAAAAGAAGTTGAAGGTATTTGATTTAATTGTATTATAGTTAATCGAGAATTTTTTTCTTTTATAACAACTATTACTAATTATTATTACAAAATACAATTAAATTTTACTGTTTATAATATCATTTTAAATGCCTTATTAACCAACATTTGGAAATTCTATTTTTAGAAAAAATATTAAGAGAATTGAAAGAAGCTGAAAAGAGACAAAAACAGTTGGAGAAAAAAGATAAAAAGGTATGTAATTTATACTTAAACTATTTAAAAATGTTATACATTTTTATTAAGTTTTAATTAAATTCAAAATTAAATATATTTCAATATCCATATTCATTATTCATACTTTACTTAGATCATTGCTAAAAGTTTCGAAAAAGATGTATCAGAAGACTTTGGAAACATGATTTGGAAACCACCAGCTGATCAAACTGGTGACGGACGAACTAATTTAAATGACAAATACGGTTATTGATTGATATATAATACATTTATGTTGTACTGTACAGTTTGTGAATAAATGTAAATTTATTATAAATAAATACAAATTACTTTAAATAAAAATTAATAATAATTTTTAATGAGGTATTTTTCACATCACAATATTGGAATAAAAATATGGAAAAATTAAAATTATGGAGTGAGAAGTGTAGATATACATAATGTACCATCATCTGAACCAGTCACACAAGTACCACATTGATTTAAAGATGACCAATCACAAACAACTGGAATGCTTTGATGCTCTTTAAGTGACAAAACAATATTTAATCCAGTACTTGTTATCTGTATATTGACAATTCAAAAAAAAAAAAAAAAAAATTAATCCTTAAAAATGAACTTTCTATAATATTATGTACACGCATATATTTATTTTTATTTTACTTTAAAAATATTTCCTCCATTATTTTGACTATGGCATAGAAGCATATAACTACCAGATTGATCTAATGTAAATGCTTGACTCATATACGCATTAGGTTGGAGTGGATTATCTTTCTTAATATTCACTTCCCAAACACAAGACTGTTTATTGCCATTCATACTAGTGCGACAAATCTAAAAGACAATACATAATGATAAAAAAAAAAAAACGTTAATAGCAAAGATAGTTTACTTTGTTATCTGCTCCTAATGTGTAACAATCATTATGATCTGGAGATAATTGTAGACACAGTAAACGATCTGTATGAGGGGTCCATCGATCAACAATTTCGCTATGTCTTAAATCAACTGTACGTACTGATCCATCAGCACATCCTGCATACAACAGTTGGCCATTATGATTATAAGCACAACATGTAACTGCTACATCATCATTTCCCAATATGAGTTGTCTCTGTAGAAATATATTTTACTTAATTTAATGTACATAAAAATTATTAATAAAAATTGCAAGCTTACTTCAATTTTTTTAGTTTTCACATCATATAAAAGTAATTTATTATTATCTTTAGAAACAAGAGAGCAAACAAATGTAGAATCAGAGGGTCCACATTTAACACATTGTATTTTTAAATTAGATGATTGCTTAAATGGATTTAATTCCCAAGAGCTTTTCATTTCTTTAGCATCATATAAAATTATAGAACAATCATCACATCCTAGCAATGCATATCGATCATTAGTCTTGAACCAATCCAAACTGTATACAACTTTTTTTAAGTTTGTTGATCCAATTACTCTAGAAATTAATACAATAATAATGATGATATAAAAGCTGCTTGCAAAAATAAACTAACTAGAGATATTCATATTTATAGTACTTTACAAATATAATAATACTCCGAATATTCCAGACTAAGCTTTTATTTACTTATTAGAGATATTAAATTAAAAATAAATTAAAATATTTCTAATGCAAAATTCTAAATTTAGGTTGAAGTTTTAATAAAATAATTTGTATTATAATAATTACTATAATAATTTTAATTTATTATAATTCCAAAATGAATATAATAAAAATCTTTTTTGAAAAATGTAAAATTATATTTATATAAATTATAAATTTCTGAATTTCAATACATTCATTATAATTTTAAAAACAAATAATACAAATTTTGTTAACAAATAATATTTGTTAAAAGTGTAATAAGCAAATTTGCATTGGTAAAATTGAAAATTTTATTTGTTCATTATTAAAGAACATAAACAAACAAGGGTGCCCATAGGGAGGCAAGGGAGGGACATGCCCCCCTAGAAAAGGTAAAAATCTTGGAAAATTGTTTACTATGATCAGAAAATATTTATTTAAATAGAATTTAAAAATTTAATTTAATATATAAAAATCTATCATTTGTTTATGAAAAATCTATTTAGTTTGGAAAATCAGGTTATCAGCTATAAATAATAATACCCTTTTTCGTTTCTATTCTATGGATAACTATCAATTCTTAAAATATTGTGTATTTCCAGAAATACAGTATATATATGTATATGTGTACACAATCATAATATTTATATTATATTTGTAAATTAATATTTTAATAAATACAACTAATGTTTTAAGTATACAATTTACATTATTAATTAAATAAAAATTTCAATAAATTACTTTTATGGTAAATTGGTTAAATAATAATAATTTTATAGTCTTCCAGTTTGATATATATAATGTAATAGTATAATGTAAAATTGTAAACCCTTTCCTATATCATGGGTCATTCATATTTATGAATAGATTGATAAATTAAAATGTTGTCCCCCCTTGAGAATTTTCCTATGGGTGCCCTTGTAAACAGATGAAAATATTCTTTAAAATTATATCATATATGTAGGTATAAGAATTTAAATTAATTTAATTATCTTAAAATAAATTAACAAATATCCCATCACATTAGAAAAAAAATTATTATAATTGAATGACTTCTATAAGAAATATACTAAGATACCTTATAGATGAAACACAAAGAGCAATAATACATATTTAATTACTTGGGTGATGGAGCGGCTGACCAAATTTTCAAAAAACCATCAATATCTGTGCTTGAAATAAGTGAACCAGATAAATTAAACCAGCATTGGGTAATTTTAGTTTTATGTTCGTTGAAGGATTCCTAAATTACATAATAGAACAATATTTTATACTATAAGCATTTCAAATTTAATGTTGAATTAATCTTATAATTCTATTTTACCTGACTAAGTAGGAGAAATGGAGGAACTTTATGTTGCCTTTTATCAAGATTGTCTAAACTAGCATCTCTGGGACCTCTACTCCTTGTAGAATCACGTTCTAATGATATTGATCTCTTTGAAACTGTTCTCCGAGTACTCTCACTGAGAAAGTTAAAATTGTAAAAATATATTATTTATAAATGTTATAAAATTAAAAACCTATGTCAATACATACAATTATTACAATTTATAAGTTTTTCTTAATTTAAATATTCTCACCCAGTATTTCCTGGTCTTATCATAACATAAGATGAAGGAGATGTTGATAGGCTTGTACTGAGTTTGGAGCTAGTTGCAACATGTTTTCTGTACCCCATATCTGAATTTTTTTTTTTTTACTTGTTAAAACTACATTTTTAGATTTGTTAATAATTGATAGAATAAATCAGTTACCTGTAGTTGAAGGAATTGGTTGAGATATTCGTTTTGTGCTTACTTGTTTGCCAAGTATTGGACTAGTAGGCAATCCACCAATAGTTCTGATTAATGATCTTAAGGATTTTATGGATGTATCGGTGTTGGTATTTTTTATAGTTTCTCTAAAAATGATGCTGAATTATAATAACTATTATAACCATAATTGTATTCACCAAATATACTATGTTATTACTGAGATACTGTGTAGAAATCATCAATGATATCTAAGTTTTGAGTATGAAAAGATCCACTGACTGTATTATATTTTGGTTGAGTAACTCCATCAGTTAATTTTTGTTTAAGGGTATCAATTTCATCTTGAAGTCTTCGTATTTTATTTGCATCATCCTCATAATTACACAAACTAGGACGTGGAATAATCTATACGCATACAACAGTATATATTTTATAATTTATGTAATTGGAGTTTTTTTTTTATGCATACATAAGAATTTTTTTAGATATTAATTAAACTACATTTTCTTGAAAATTAAAAATGTATTAACTTAAATAATTTTCAAAATATATATGTTATATTACAGGGCAGGGAATAGATAACTAGTTATATTAAGATATTGTAAAAATAATAAAAACAGAAAATGCCTAAAATATTCAACAGGAAAATTATTCATAAAGTAAATAGCTACAATATCTTTTTGATGTTATGTTGTATTTTACAATAAAAATGATTCTTAAAAAATATCATATATTAATACATAACTTACTTGGTAAACTATGGATAGGAAATTATGCAGAGATATAAAAAATGAATCTTGCCACTGCTTGGTGAAATAAATGGCAAACAATGGATTTTCTTCAATATTTTTTAAGTATGGCAACACTTAAGTATAAAATAACATAAATAAATATTTGAATCTAATCATAAATTTAAAAAAAATAAATACTTACTAAACCAATCCTTCCATTCACTTTGCATTTGTAAATCATTAGTCATTTTTGTTAAAAATTCATTTACTTTATCAGAGCGATTATTAGTCAATGCATGTATGATGTAAAATTTGAACAAACTATTTTCCAATTTTTTTACAGCTAAAATGTTCAAAACAAGTTATATTAATTTTTACTTCAATTTTAAAATATGTAACCAACCATAAGATATATCTTGATCAAGTTTGGAAAATAATTTATTTTCAAAATGTAACCAAAGCTCTCTAATTGTAGTTAAATCATAGGAATAAACTAGCTGCAAAATCTGTTCAACTAATTTGTCCACCTGGAATAAATAAATAAAACAGCATTTACATTAAAATAAGAAACAAAGTCATATTATTATATTTTTATAATATCACATTCTTTAAAATGTTAACTTGTACAACAAGATATATAATTATAAATAGTTAAATGTATGACTTACTCTAAATCCTTTATCTTTGTCTTGTTTAGCATCAAAATCAAACCATTTTAATGCATTTGTAAATCCTCGGAATAATAAATATTCTCGAATTAATTCATCAATGTGTTGCATGTGAGGCATTGTTATTTCGTTATAAGACAGATATAGAGTGAATAGGAATTATGGAATTGCAATACCATCAATTAATAAATATACACTTAAATATGATATGATAGAAATATAATTAAATTGCTACTAGAACAGTAAACACAGCTAATTTTGTCGTTTTTAAATTTTGTTTATCATCTAGATATAATGTTATCATTGGTTGTTGACACATTACAGATTGCATTAATGATTAACAAATTATGTGGCCATAGACCTTATACCCCATAGACATAATATATATTATAAATATATATTATGTCTATGTATATTTTATTCTGTGCTTATAAGTATAAGACAGGGCCCGCGTAAGGCTAAATGACGCCCGAGACCAATATGCCAACTGGCGCCTTTTTCATATAACAACCCGTAATATCATTATACTTAGAAAAAATTATATATTATGCTTAACTTGTACATCATTTTTTAGTCATGAGTCGCGACGGCTCGACGTGATCCCGATTGAACGATAACAAATATTTTGGAATCATAACAAAATATACGATTAAACATTCTATGATAAACCATAGTAAATATACTTAAAATATATTATTCTCATATACGGCTAAACGAAATAACCATAACTATTATCAATATTTTAATACAAAGTTATAGGTACGTTAAAAAAAAATATATATAAAAATATTACTGACATATACACAAAATCGTAAAAAACAATTTTGGTGCCCACCTGAAAATGGCACCCTAGGCGATCGCCTGAGTCGCCTTACCCTCACGCCGGCCCTGGTATAAGGTCTATGTATGTGACCCAACATTGGTAATATCATACATAGGTAGGGTAGATATTATAACTGTAAACTATTATTCCATATGAGGTAAAAAGAAACGAATGTCGTCATCTCTATTTCAAAACCAATATAAAGTAACAGCAACGGTGATCAAGTAGTCATGGCTAACTACAGGTTTTGATTAAGAGTTAAATTTTTATTTGTTTTATTATAAAATTGCAGTTATAATAATCAATTTTTGTTTTAAATAAAATACTTTTTTTTTCATTTCTTTTCTAATATTTTAGGTGTATCAAATCTGTAGTATGTGTACTAAAGTGTTTGTGGCAAGAAAACACTTTTGTGAGCAGCAAGACGTTTCTGTACTTACTTTCTTATCCAGTACTCGTTACTGTGGTCAGTTAAGAAAGAGTGAAATTTGGTCTAGGTTAAAGAGATTTCACCCTCGAACTTCCAGTAGGTACTCACTATTGTGGTTAGTTGTTAGAGAGTAAACTTTATTCAGTAAAGATACAAGTTATAAAGTATAAATCCTGTGGCACCTGTTAATTCATCCTATGGTGCAGAACTATTTATGGTCATCAAAAGAGAATTAAATAAATTGTAACCAAAGGTATCAATATTTATTTGTTTGATGATCTGAAATTCAATAACTGAAATTTATCTGTTATATACATTAAGCCTTTGAGTGGCACACATCTTTGTCTTAGACCTTATACCACATATCCCAATTATGTAATGTTTAATGCACAATGAAAATATATCTACAATGTGGCTTAATATAATCTGTACTGATACGAGTACCATAGAGTAATATTATTCTTATGTAAAGTATAAAGTCGATTATAGTAATATTATTTGGTATTAAAGATAATACTAATTAAATACTAATATTTATTTATTTATTTATTATTTATTAATTAATTTACGGAATAAAAGTTCCTTATTTAGTACAGTACACAATAATAATTCAGTAAAATAAGATAGCTAACATATACAAGGGGCGATGGCCTAAAAATACAGCAGAATTACAGGTACAGGAATCTACAATTAGGAACAGCCTTCGTAATTCCATTTATAAATAACGAAAAAAGCAGGGGAGACAAGTGACCACCTTGGGGAACACCAGATGGAACAGGAACGACAGCAGATTTTGATCCAAGCACTTTAACCCACTGAACACGATCGGACAGGTATGATTTAAACCAGGACAAAATAGGTTCGCCAAAACCGGACTTATAGAGGATGTCAATTAGGATAGCGTGATCGACACGGTCAAATGCTTTCACAAAATCAGTGAAAACCACGTCTACCTGGGAGCGATTTTCAAATGCCTCAAGGACAAAATTATTAAACACAATTAGGTTCGAAGAAGAAGAACGTCCAGGTCGGAAACCATATTGTTCGTCGACTAGTACAGAGTCAACCGAGGGCTGAATGGATTTCAGTACTAGGTGTTCGAAAAGTTTGGCAATATGACTTAGAATCGAGATGGGTCGATAATTCGTGACGTTAGATTTGTCACCAGATTTGAACACAGGGGTGACTGAGCTGATTTTAAGCATTGATGGAAAAATTCCATCATCCATTGAACGCCTGAAGAGTAACCATAAAGGAAAACAGAGGACAGATCTGATGTTATACAAAAAGGTCCCAGATAGACCATCAGGGCCAACGGAGTGTACATTTTTTAGTGCAGCTAACCCGTTCTCGACATCTTCGATACCAAAGATGCAGTCAGAAGGTAAAGTATGATACGCAAATGGAATAACAGGTAGGCTACTTGCTGAGGAAGGCACATAGACCGAGTTAAAGTAAGATGAGAAAAGACTGGAGATGGATTCAGGACCAGTGGCACTTAGATCATTGAGGTGGACAGAGTTGGGAATACCATTGCTAGATCTACGCTTACGTACAAAGTATTAGTATTACTATGACTAGGGTTCGGGACTTGTTGCATTTGCATATTGCTTAATAATGACCGCAGAATAGTCTAAGTAAGATTTAAATTTGTTTTACGTCATAACAGATTGAAATACAAAAATTTTAATTGCATATTTTCGCATATTTTGCCGTTTTCTAAGTAAAATGCATATTTGACAAATTTTGGCAGTTTAATTGATATTTAAAGTAAATTTACGCAGTTTTTGTTTAAGTACATTAATTAATTACATTATTTAATTACATTTATTTTAAAGGTTAACTTTACTTATTTTTTACTTTCATACGTTATTCAATATACCTAATCACTCTTAATAAGTAATTGTTTCCGTATAGCGAGGTTTATTAATGAAGATGAGATAATAACATTATTAACTGGATTTGGCAACTAGGGAAATACTTAATTATTCCTGCTTATACTATCGACGATAAGTTATCTACTTATCGTAAATCGTTTTAGAGTAATACTACATAAAAGGAAAATAAGAATTCAGTTTGTTTTCGTGTGTCGTGGCTTTTAAAATCGTTATTCTTGTAGCTCTCGTAATTTTAATGATGCCAAAAATAACGAGTGTATTAAACAATATATCACCGAGTTTGAAAAAACATATTTTCATTGTAGGAGAAGACGAAGAAAACGAAATCGAATATACACTTCAGTAATGTTGATAGTGTTATTGTTGTCAAAAGTAAATAATTACAAAAAATTGTCTAAATTAAAATGAATAAATCAAATTTTTTAATTGGCATTTAAAAAATATTCAGTTGCATATTTCGGTTATTTTAAGTGCATTTGTGCATGCATATTTCCTAAAATTTGTGTGCAGTAAGTCTTGAACCCTATGACTTTTGTTATTAAATTAACGAAAAAAAAGTTGTTTGTGTTCATGAAATAATTGAACGCCTTCAAATATTCAAAAATAATTTTTATAAAATTAATAAAAATTTCAAAGGAGAAAAATATGTGTACGGATATTAAATTAGTTTGATTAGTTAAATTTGTCTTACATTAATATACATTTGGTAGCAATTAATTTTTTTCACAAAATATTTATAAACATTTTGCATATTTACTTTTTTTTAAATTAAACAACTAATAAACATCAAACAAATATTGTTATTACAAAAAATAATAATTTGATGACTAGAGTCCGAATTTAAATGCACTTAAAATTATATAAATACGCTCTAAAAAATAGCCAAAAATATCCTTAAAAAATGCATTTTACAACAAAAATTAATTTAAAAATAAAAAAATGACATAATTTTTTTATTTTGGGCATTATTTAACACATTAAAATCACATTCACACGTAATACGAACAAGCTAATTATTTTTTATTTAACCAAATACCAGTGACATTCCACAGTCAATAATAAATTAAGATAAGAAAAAAACTAAAACGAAAATTTTTTTATTTAATAAAGATTGACAACGTGTTTGGAAAACTCGATAAACCTACTAAAATATCAAGAAAATAATTTGTCTTTTGATTTTATTTTGAATAGGCTAAATTTGTTTAGTAAATCGAACAAATATACATTAAAAACTAAAAAAATGACCCAATAATACTAAAAATATTCTAAAAATGAAAAAAATTAAATTTTTAGTTTTGAAACCCTGTATGATCAACCAAAAAAATATGCAATTAGCATTGAAATCCGGACCCTAGTGATGACTATTGCTTTTTATATAAGTGAATATTCAGTAAATCAAGCATAAAATATCCACACAATTATTATTATTTATATATTGTATAACATTATTCTAAACATAATTTAATGACATTTTTGTAAATTATAAATAAATATTATTTTACATAAATAGATTTTCATAAAACTATCTCATAATATTTAAATACATTAATTACATTTCTACATTTAATGATACAGTGAAATACTATATATAGTACTCAGTAATATGTTTGTTTATTAATATTCTATTGAAAACAATTATAATTGAATATTATTTAAAATATTAAAAATACAGTATAAAGTTAATAGTGAAACTATTGATTAATTTAACACAATTACAATTTGAAATCTAAACCCATTTCATTAATACTGAGGAAATTTGATAATAAATCAATGGTAAATGTTATTACAGGAAAATGTAAAGTTTAACTCTCAAAAATAATTAAGTAATAACTTAAACAATAGCTTTTATAACTGCATCAGTAAATTCATGAGTGCTGCTTGAACCACCTAGATCCCTTGTTCTCACCTAAAAAATATTAAAAAATATATTTAGTAATTTAAATTTTAACATTTCATTGCTAAATGATGAAAATAAAATATAGTTACATATTTTGAATTAATTACTTTTTATTTTAAATATAACAATTAATACTTAATAGTACTATTAATTATAAAATTATTATTTTTAATTACTTTGCCAGCAGCAAGCACTTCTCTAATTGCAGTTCTTATGGCTTCACTATAATGCTGGAGGTTAACGTGCCTTAACATTTTTGATGCACACATCAACATAGCTGTTGGGTTAGCTATATTTTTACCAACAGCAGTTTGGAAAACATGTCTTGCACCCTATTAAAATTAATAAAAGATAACATTTATTAGTTCATACTTAAATATAACTAACTAGTTACAGGTTCAAAAACAGCACATTCAGGGCTGAAAGATGAGCTAGCTACAACACCAGCTCCACCAACTAATCCAGCTGCTAAGTTATCTAATATATTGCCATATAAATTGGGCATGACTAAAATATCGAACTGTTGAGGATTAGACACCATCTGCATAGTACAGTTATCAACAATCATAGCTTCAAAGTTGACACTAGGATACAGTTGTTTGATCTTGGAACAATAAAAAAATTAGGAAATTAATACTATTTAATTTTTTTTGCAAAATTGTTTACATACTCAGTCAAAATATAAATACATTACCTCTGAACAACTTTTTAAAAACAAACCGTCTCCAAGTTTCATTATGTTTGCTTTATGAACACATGTAACACGTTTACGATTATTTCTAAGAGCATAATCAAATGCAAACTTTGCTATTCTTTGTGATTTTGAAGCAGTAACAATTTTTAAACATTCAACAACTCCCTAAAATAAAAATAAATACATAACATAAAGAACATGATATAATACAAATAAGTCTTACATCAACAGATTCATGTTCAAGGGCAGAATATTCTCCTTCAGTAAGTTCACGAATAATTACAATATCAATATTTTTATGTCTAGAAGCTACTCCAGGCCAGGAAACAACATGGACAACATTCGAATATAAATCTAAGCCTTTTCTAAGTTTCATGTGCAAGTTTTGTAGTTCTCCAGAATAACTTACATCAGGACTCATTAATGCTCCCTTAAAGTAAAGTTACAATTGTATTATTAATTTATATTAAAAAATAAATTTAGAATAATTAACAACCATTAAACAAATTCTATTGCGATTTATTGATTTAATAACATCTTCAACTTGAGCACTGCTAGAATGCTGTACTTCAGAAAATAAAATGGTCTCAAAATCAATTGGTGCTCCAATAGCTTTTAGCACAGTTTGAACAGAGTTCATTAATTCAGGATACACTCCATCACCAGGAATCAATGTACATGTAATTCGATCAACTGGCATGTTGGCAAATTTATCCTGTATAAAAGTATTAAATTTAAATAAAAGCACATAAAAAAAAAACTAAGAATAAATATATTGGTATACTTCATTTGATTCACCAGAAGTATATGCCCTTGCAATTGATGATTTGATTCCAACATTTTTAGCAGTGTCCTAGAAACAAGTATAATTATGAGTTTAATTAAGATTTCTATCGAATTAATGGGTTCCAAATAAATTATGACCTTACCAGTGATGAAGGTGTATGCAGACACTTATTTCCTAATAAATTTTTAGCGGACTATAAAAAAAAATTAAATTTAAATACAATTAGGAAAACATTACAATGAAATCTACAGACTGCAACATTAAAACGGACTCAATAAGTATTTATACAAAGCAAATTGTTGATTTTTTTTTTTTTCTCATAATATATGAGTTATTGTACTTACCCTGTTAATAAGTAGTTTCATTCCATTTTTAAGAATCGACATTATGATAAAGTCGATTACTTTAAGAATTAAAAAAAAATAATTATTCAGGTAAATTAATTAATAAATAAGTTGTGCTGTGCCCAAGAAAAAAATGTTGCACTAGGATGTTGGAATGTTTCTAGATCACGATATCAATAAAAAAAGAATCAGGGCTTATACTATCCAATGAAATCGCAGATATCAATAATTACTGTACTGCGATTGGTGTGGTATGCTTAGAACTTTGGAGGATAACAGCTGTAGATAAGCGAGATAATGATAAGATGAAAAAATTTAAATTATGAAATTGGATTTTAATTTTCACCTATTTTAATATTTAGCAGTCCATCATTCTAGCATTCTACAATATAGTGTACTACTGCATTATTCTATGACATTATTATATATTAAATTATAGTACTATGGCCGTATTTCTGGTTATTGTTGTTGGTTATTAGGTAATGATAATGTACCGCAGTGGTATTCGTTATTTATTTAAATTACAAAACGTCATATTATAACTTTTTGCGGGATTTTTAACGAATAATTAAAAAGGTAGGTTGAATCTTAAATAATGAACATGAGTCGTCGGCTTCTCATATTATATGGTAGTCAAACTGGATGTGCCCAAGAGGTGGCTGAAAGAATTTGGCGAGAATCAAAATGGTAAGCTAATTCCTAAATCTTATGAGTTTTAATTGTAATATTATTTAGTATGAAATTTTTTTTTTTTTTTTTAAATACCTTTTAAATTTATAAGAATATTATTAAATTTGTATAAAAAAAATTTTTTTTGTTTTTATAAGCTTTTATTTGATGTATTTTTTATTAAATGCACATTATAACTATAAGTACTATACATTTTACAATAAATAAAAAATAAGACCGATAATAGAAGTGTCTCAGTGAAAGTAACACAGAAAAAGTAGAAACTATATTAATTTTATTCTGTTAAGGTTACATTATAGTGGACCTGTTACTGCTATGGATGAATATCCTATAGACAAATTAATTTTTGAAAACAAAATTATATTTGTTTGTTCAACTACCGGTCAAGGTGAACAACCGGACAATATGAAAAATACTTGGAAATTTCTATTAAGAAAAAATTTACCTTCTAATTCTTTAAATAATGTTGAGTAAGAAAATAATTTATAGTCTTATAAAACAACATTTTAAAGTTAATTATAATATAATGTTAAATTATATTTATTTTTCATAATTTATTAAGAAATATATTTTAGATTTGCTGTTTTGGGTCTTGGAGACAGCTCATATTTAAAATTCAATCATGTTGCTAAAAAACTTTATAGAAGACTTATACAGTTAGGTGGAAAACCAATCTGTGATATTGGGTTAGCTGATGATCAACATGATATTGGAGCATTTGCTGTTATTGACTCGTGGATAGAAAATTTGTGGAATATATTAGCAAAAGTTCATCCTCTTACAAATGGATTAACAGTAATAGATCGAAATACATTGCCACCTCCAAAGTAAACCATAAAATAAGAACATATTTGCTTATGTATATGTAAATACACCTAACCAAACCATTAAGAAAATAAATTTCAAAAAATAGCCACTTCAAAGTGACATACTGTAATTTTTTTTCACATGTACTCTTTTACTTTATGTATAATACAATATTTGTCTATACTTATTATCTTACATATTCTAACTATTCTCTATTGAATTTTATTAGCAACTAGTAAATAATTATATTCATTATGAATAATTCATATCATATATCATATCATTGTGTTATATATAACATACCATATCATTGATCACCTGTGTTGATTGCAATTTGTAGATATTATTGATTTTTATATAATATCATACCAGCATTTTGATAATACAGTGATTATATAATAATGGTTCTAGCAAAAAAAAAAAAAATGCATTTTATGAAGTGTCGCTTAGCACTAGACACTTAGTCACTCAATAATTCAAAATTCAGTGGACAGATCTGAAAATTAAATTTATAGAAGTTTTCGAATTTCCCAGTGTTCAAATAATTGAGGAGGAAAAATAAATAATTTAAATTAAAGAAAGATGAAAAATGTTGTTACATACATTCATATTATTTATTTATTATACATTTATTTTGACTTTTAAATGTTTTACATATTAAATCTGTTATTTTTTTTGTGATAGATTGTTGGTTACAATCTGGTCCCTAAAATTTATTTTAATATAGTTGAAAGTGTAAAAGCTGGGATACAAAAACGTAGGGCAATATATTTTTTTTTCACCAACTTCAACTGCCACAATCACTTTTTTTTTTTTTATTGGCTAGCGACAAACATTTGTATTTCACGGGGCCCATATTCAGACTGACAGCCTTTTACTTGATTTCAACAACTATTTGCGTATTACAGAGATTAATTTTGTTAAAATATGATTAATGTTAAAAAGTTTAATTAAATTTAAGCAATTTAAGATAAACCACGATAATATTTTATCGCTGTTATTATTAGTTTGATCACAAGTACATAATTTACATACATGATTTATACATGATGGTTATATAATCGCTACAATAAATTTATTTTAGCTTATACTTATATAGAAATATATATAATAATGGTTCTAGCAAAGAAAAAACATGCAATTTATGAAGTGTCGCTTAGCACTAAACATTTTGAATTATTGGGGTGACCAATATACATATATTTTCTTCTAATTATGAATGGAATTTTTTAAATTATCGAGTAAGTAATATACTTTAATTATCATTATTCAAGTGTATAGTTGCTGTATAGATTACATTCTATTGTACATTCATATATTTTAATTCATTTTAAACGAAATTATGGTATGCTATTTTATTAAAAATGCAGGATTTCAATGTTAAAAGTTAATTTTATAGTAAACTGGAAGAATATTTAAATAAACCTAGAAAAAAAGCCTTATACAACTGAAAACATTGAGTCAATTATAACAGAAATAATTTACACTTAAATAAAGAAGTGCTTACAAAATTAATTAATTTGACCATATTTAATGCTACTGCACCATAATTTGGTATACAATATACTTATTTAGTAGTACTATATAATATGATAAAAGTATATATTATGTAGACCCTATAGATATTTGGTCAAATTAATTGATTTTGTTAGTATGTCAATAATGGTTTTTCCACGTTTATCCTAATAAAATATTTGTTAAACATTCAGAAAATTAATTTTCAGTATTTCATATGTATTTTGCTGTAACATGGGCGTAACCAAGAGGAGGGGGTTCGGGTCCGGACCCCCCCATTGAAATTTCTACATACTCAATGGTTTAATAGTAAATAGTATTTAGTGTATTTTAATTTCCCGTTATCTTCAATATATAAATTATAAATTACCTATATAATATACCTATAATATATAAACCATGTTTAATTTATACTATTTTTTTAATATTATTTATTATTGTTAATTAAATTATGTATTTTTTTATAACATTTAACAAATAAAAATTGATTTCAAATTATAGTACCTACCTATTGTAGTAAACCTTTGTGCAGAATATGCGTGATGTGTGTATAACTATTGTGACTATTACTATAGTTATTAACAGTAATTTTTTGGTATTGAATTAAACTATAATTATAATTAGAGAACAGATAAAATAAAAACTTTGGACCCCTCCCCCTAAAAAATTCCTGGATACGCCACTGTGCTGTATTATTGAGTATAAGTTTTTAATAATTGCTAATAAAATTCAATAGAGCAGTAAACTAATATAAGTAAAAAATATCTTGGGTGGTACATAAAATGAATGACCTAAAATTGAGAAATAAATTGTTAAATATCAAATTGAAATGGTCATTTTATGAAAAAGTGAGCATTTTTTTCAATATCAATTTTTTTTTTTTTTTTTTTTTTTGTTATGTTTGTGTAAAAACTATTTATATTAAATGATCAATTTAACTATGTGACTACAAAATTATATGTTCTCAAATTTATTTTTAGGTGGAGTGTATGTAATTCAATTGGCGGTATTCACAAAAATGATATTTTGCCAAATAATGATTTATTAAAACTAAATTCTACCACTGTCACTTGTTTATCTAACACAAAAACTACAGCTGAAAATCATTTTCAAGTAAATTTTATTCTAAGAATATTATTAATATATAATTGAAATTTTATAAGTCAATTGCATATTTTTTTAGGATGTACGGTTATTAAAATTTGAGTTAACTGAAGGCAGTGTTAAGTATTCTCCTGGTGACATTTTAATGGTGCGTCCAGTTAACTCTGAAACTTCTGTAAACAATTTATTTCAAATACTTAAAGATAATAAGATGAAATTAAATACTACCTCTATATTAAGTGTAACTCAGCACAGTAATGATATGCCTGTACCATATAATTTGTTGAAACCATTTACTTTATATCAGTGTGCTAAATATTTTTGGGATTTAAATGTAAATATTTTATATTTTAATGATGAGTTAGTATAACTATATTTTATGATAAATACAATTCTCTAGATTATACCAAATAGATATACATTTCAATTATTGTCATATTTTACGGATAATGAATTAGAAAAAGAAAAACTACAGGAATTCACAACACCTGAAGGACAAGAAGAACTGTATAATTACTGTAATCGTCCAAGAAGAACTATTCTTGAAGTATTGACTGATTTTCCTCATGCAACAGCTAATTTAACTTTGGAATATCTTTTTGAAATATTTTCTCCAATACGCCCAAGAGCCTTTTCAATTGCTTCAGCACCTTCAGTATGTTTATATTTATTTACGTATCGTAATAATATTAGTATATTAGTTAAACATCAAATTATATCTCATTTCATAAATAATCAAATATTTTACTGTTTAACATGTATTATAGGTACACATTAATGAAATACATATACTTGTTGCTGTTGTTAGTTATAAGACGAAATTATTTGCAAAAAGAATTGGATTGTGTTCTACGTGGCTTGCTAGTTTAAAATATGGAGATAAAATTCCCATTTGGATTCAAAAAGGAACATTTAAATTTCCATACAGTCAAGTAACTATTTTATTGTTTAAATGTTGAATGATAAAATTGTAATTAAACTAGTTAAAAAACTAAATTATTATTTTGAATTGTTGTTTAGTCATGTAATGTGATAATGATTGGACCGGGTACTGGAGTAGCTCCATTTCGAAGTTATATACATGAAACTGTTGCTAAAGGAAACGGGGATGCAAAAACTTTACATTTATATTTTGGAGCTAGAAATAAATTTGGTGATTTTCATTTTGTTAATGAATGGGAACAACTAATATTTAATGGAAAATTATCATTGCATACTGCATTTTCAAGAGATCAAAAAGAAAAAATGTATATTTTTAATTTTTAACTTACCATAGTTAATATTTAAAAAAAAATTAAATAGTTAATTTAAATAGCATTTATTTGTTCTAGTTATGTGCAACACATTTTGGAAAAAAATAAAGAAGATCTATCAAAGTTACTCACCAGTAAAGAATGTTATATTTTCATAGCTGGAAATGCAAAAGATATGCCAATAGCAGTTAAAAACGTATTTATAAGTATTGTTGAAAAGTTAAATAATTTAAATAATACTATACCTATAAACACAATTGATATGATGGAAACTAAAGGCTTTTATCAAACTGAAACTTGGAGCTAATTTTATTTCTTACAATTTACATATATATACTAGTATTAATAAATTACCTTTAATTTAAATACATGTATACATTTTACCAAATTTATAAAATTTGTACTGGAAAAACATTTTTGTTCTATGAATTATTTAAACTGTATAAAATATAATAAATCATTTAAAATTGTTTAAACATATTTTTTTTTTGTCATATTTATTTTAATTTGTAAAATCTGTATAAAATATTTTACAATAAGCACAATATATATAAATAGCCCAGTTATGATAGAATAATCTTAAAGAGGTTTTTTTATTTTTATAAAGTAAATATTTATTTGAGTATTGGTGAAAATGATAAATATGGAACACTATTTATAAACTATAAATATAAATGAATTATAATGAAACACTCAACATAACTATTAATAATATATTTAACGGAGTACAATTTATTTTAGAACAAATTACATTAAAATAAACAAGTTGCGAGCTCATCCAATTAGTATATATTTGAAACCGATAGGCTGAGTTGATACAACTAAAGTATTATTATGAAAAATATTTTATACATAAATGGTGCGGCGTCAAATATTTCTGTGGTGAAATGTCGGGGTCCGCTCTTATTCCTCGTCTATTTCAAGCGCCCCCGAAACTAACCTTACGTCTAAAGCGAGCTATTGTTATTTTACTAACTAAATAATTTAGTATTTATGTACTTGTTTCATATGTTACTTTAACATTTGAATCACTATAATCTCGCCGATTACGAAGAGCATCAATTTCATGGACATATAAAATATTTGGATATTGTTTACAAATTACAGCTTGAGCACCATTCAATTTGCCATTCAACGAAGCAGCGCCATCATAACCTTGGCCAATTAAAAATTCTAAGTTAATACAAAGTAATAGTAAGTTTTTAATAATTGTTCTTTCTAGTCCATGACCACTTAAATCAGAAATAACTACAAACTTTAAAAAATCTTCTCGAATTAAAGATTTGTCAAATCAGTCTCAATGTAACGGATACATATAGACATCTGTTATTTTTTTAAGACATCAGTTTTTTCATCTGCCATAACAAAAAATAACAGCTAGATTAACTGTATCAACTAGATTTTCTGATATAATATCACTATGAATACTTATTAATTGATTTTTTGTTTAACCACTCGTATATTGGGCATATGAACTAACCTACAGATAAGTGTTTTTTCAAAATGTCATTTCCAGCGTTCATTCTAAATTATAGTAATTCACGAAATGTACCATTATTTGTCACTTCTTAGTTTAAATTTATACATCCAGAATTATATTTTCCTCTGAGAGACATTTTTAATCGACCATAAAGATGAATTGTTACGATTATTGAACATAATTTTTTCTATTTTTAGAAGCTTGACGGGCTTTTTCAAAGTTTAAAACATTAATCACAGATTTTTGTTTTCGATTATTTACTGACAAAAAATGTTCAAAACATTCTTTAGATAATTTATGATACTGACCATTATCATGATCATAAGGTACATTTCTCTATCACGTTTTTCCATTTTTTAAATGGTTATGTGACAAAACTTTGAGCTTTTTCATGATTACCTTTACCAATATCCATATTGGAAAATATAACACAAACTTAATGCATCAGCTTCTATTTCAGAATACACCACCATGGATATATTTTTAGCCAACTCATTTCAAAACGTAAATTACATTTATTAGAAGTTTCTATTGGAAATACATTTCTATTTGGGAATACCCATAGTGATAAGAATAATTATTCTATTTTAAATATATATATTTTAAATTTATATAAGCATCAATGTCTTGAGAATCAAAATTAAATTATGTCGAAGCTGGTTTTACATTTTCAATAATCTCATGATTTATTATATTTTCAGTATGACTAACTTCTGGCGGTTTGTTTCAAAAAAATCTAAAATTGTTTCTGGCTTTTTCATCTTCGAAAGTTTAATATAACTCATACATTGTAATAGAATTCGTAATCCTAATAAATAAAAATTTAAATTTAATAAGTAGAAGGTTTAGAAAAATCTCAAAATTATACCTCCCTCTCTTAGGTATCTACGATTCTTTTTTTTAAATACCAAAATTTTAAATGATACTAATACTTAACATTTTTTCATTATCTAATAATTGCTAATCTAAAATAAAAATGTTTTCAACCTCATTTAAGAATAATTTAAATAGATAAAAAATAGTACAAATTATGAGTACGTAACCAGTGCCGTAAAAATCATAGGTGCAGGTGGTGCACAGCACTGGGATCCGTAGGGTCAAAGGGCCATAGTTGGCCGTCAATTTTTTTTTTTTTTTTAATTTGATTTAATTTGATTCATGATTATTGTATTATTATCTTGTATTTAATTTTATATAACAAAAGGTAAAAGTCTGGTCCGTTTTATTTGGAATTGTTTATCTAAATATTGGGAAAAATACTAAGCTTAGAGTGACATAAATAGATTACTTTTATAAATATACTTTTATATTTTATTGTAAATCATATTTATAAAATCAATAATCATGTATTCATATTATATATTTTATCTTTAGTTGTAGTTTATTCTACAAGTTTTTTGAAGTGAAACTTTTTTACTGAGGGTATGACAAATACTTGTATATTTAGTCACGTAAACGACTGATTAGAATGAAATGACTGAACGACAGGATAAGAAGGCGCACGCAAATCGTATATCTGCTACGCAATGGTCAGTATACCACCCCATCACTCTTTTCTTTTCTAAACTCAACTTAGCGGGTATTGGAATTAAAGACCCCGGACCCATGGGAATCTGAGTTTTTATGGCCGCAGAATAATTTCCCCCATTCGAGAACAAAAGTCTTTACCCCCTCTCATTTTGAGTTAACCATAACTCAGTGGGATTTCAATTTAATGTCCCCGGACAAACTGGGAACCGTTCCGGAGGTGCGAGACTACAGATTTTCGCTTTAGGGTACGGGGCACCCCTTCCTCCCCTTTTTGGCTTTATGCTTTTTTGCTGTATTTCAATCCAGGAGGTCACTAGGACCCACCCCGCTGCTGGGAAACGCGGGGTTTCGAATTCCCCCTCCCTTGATAACCTCAATGGAAGAAATCAATTGCCATTGGTATTAAGTGAAGACTTTAATATAAATTTTGCTTCAATACACTCCATAACACTTATACATTTTTTTCCGAAACAAACTTAATTTAGTAATGATCTAATGACACCAACAACAAGATCAGGAACTACGATTGATACGATTTTTACACGGTACCTACTAGTGCCCGTGATTTTAGACGTGTACCTAATTTAAATACACGCATAGGCGTGTTGACGGGAGGGGCCGGGTGGGCCACTGACCCCCCGGCAAAATTTGCCTCCAACAAAACCGTGCCAGAATAAAAAAAAAGTAATGTGATTTGTACTCATTACCTACCGATAGTTTCAGTACAGTACAGTATAGTAGTAAAATGTACGTATTTTTATTTGATTTTTAAATGTATTTTTATTATTCATGTCTAAAAAAAAATATAAGTCTCATAATTAACCCCTCGGCCACCAAAGTCTGAACACGCCTATGAATACACGTATACACGTGTCACGTGTAATTAATATACACTTGTATTAAAAAAAGAAATTAATTTTCGTTATAAATTTCAGTTTGAGTTAATATATTTAGTAATTTGACAATTATATTTGTGTTTGAGTTTGAATAATTTAAATACACGGAATATTAAAAATAAAACTAAAATTTACAAGAGGGTTTTATCATTTTTAAAAGAAGCGCGCGTTGAATCGTTTGTAAACCGTGGTACTAAATTTCAGCCATCACGTATTCTGGAATATGCAATCAAGAATAATATATGAGTAAATAATTACCAAAAAAAAAAAAAACCAGGTCGTATATTACGCGTGACTTGTCTGAAAAGCATACAGCGATTTAAATTGAATTGCTTATAATATATTTAAAAAAAAAACAAGACGTGTAATAAAAATATATTTTTTTAAATATACGTGTATGTTAATTACACGTGTTTTACGTTACGTGAATCACGTGTAATCAAATACACGTGTAATAGAGACCTCTAGTACCTACCTAATGTACAATCAAGAACTTGCATATCTTATTTCAGCTATCATATCTACTTTTCCCAAAGAAATATCTACAGACAAATCCTCCGACGAATACATGGAAATTGATGAATTAGAATAAGTTTATTCTAATTCTTTGTTTTTTTTATATTTTTCTAGATAAAAAACTATATAAAGTCTTAAAGATGTACACCACACCTATCACTATTAAATATTTCAGATTGTCATATTTATTTTCAAAAAATAAACAAACATTCTTATAAATGTATGGAATGCTAGATATATGACCTCCATGTGGTGCACCCCGGGTAATGCTAACAATATATCGAAAAAAGTCAATGAGCAATAAGCCTTGATTTAAACATGTCTTTAGCTGTGATGAACCCGAACTGTTATTTCAACCTATTGATCACGTCACTAATATTTTTCTTGTATCATTAATAATGTAGTTTCACTTCATATGCTCGTTCTTGGAACACGCACCTTTTTTTTATTAATAAAATCTATCTAATTGTGATCTTATATATCTACTAAGTTGAAACTTTTTACAGAATTGTTTCAGCGAGAAAATTATCTATCGGTTCTTTAAAATTCAATAGATCCACAAATACTATCTGTTCTAAGGAGTAAAAAATTCCCATAGTCTGAAGTCCGACTTTTTTATGTATCTCAAGAAAGAGGGGCCCATGTACATTTTTTTGCACTTTGGTCTTTGACACTCTAGTTACGGCACAGTACGTAACAACCATAAGCGAGTCTGAAAATTTCGTGCAGGTATGGCTAATAACATTTTTCATTAGGAAAATTGAAATTTTAATTTAGGATACGAAGACAAAGAGTGCTATATACACAATACACTACCTCGGGAACGTACGTAGTAATTGTAGCTACTATAGTGACTATAGCTAGTAAATAATATACTTCATCTCTTAAAAAAAATAAAAGGTATATAACATAAAATACAACATAAACTACACGGGTA